ATAAAAAAAACTTATCATCTATCAATTCGCCCACAAAAATAAAACGCTTAAATTAACTTATTGTTCTCCTATACTTAAATTTCTACAGCTTCTCACCCATTATTGCCAAGACTATGAGAAAAAAGGACCAACTTCATAGGTTATTACGTTTCTAGAGTATTATTAAGATTGTGACAAAGACAAATTTGTTTCAATAAATAATTCTAAAATTTTCTTAATTTAATAAAATTTGATAAAGCTAAACGTAGATGAGATGAGATGATATCTCTCTATGATATACATTTCTATTATTATAACTCTTGTTCTTATTTTTTTTTCTTAATTTTTTCACTACACCATTTTAGTCCTAAGGCCACACTAAATCTAGACAACACTTATAAAGTGTTGCCAAAAATATTTTTGGGTACACTTTTAAAGTGTAGCATTAGTTATTAGCTTTTGACAACGATAATATTGGCAACATTTGTAAAACGTGCTCTTTAGTAGTATAGGCTACACTTTATAAACGTTGTCAAATTATGATATAATTGAAAACACCTGTTTACACATATGACTACACTTTTAAAGTGTGCTATTTTTATAATTTAAAAACAACACTTTACAAGTGTAGCATTATAATTTTCCCAAAATTTTCACTAAAATATTGTATTCCCTCCAATATATTTAACTTTCCCCCCAATTTCTAATTTGTCAATAAAGGAACTAACAAAAGAAAAATTCTATACAAAGAAATATACTCTAAAAAGCATTCTGCCCCAAATTAACATAGGAGCTACTCTTTATCTAAATCAAAATAAGTGCTATTTTTTTACCCAAATCAAAACGTACTTTTGCCCCAAATAAAAATCTCATACCCTAAACCCTACAACTTGCTCTATTCCTTGCTCTGAATGTAGAAGAAACTCAGTCGTAGCTCTGAATCGTCCAAATGGGTACTTGAAAGGGGAGTAGCGGATAGAGAGAGCGTGGTCTCATTGGAAGAAATTAGGCGAGCCCAAACTTATAGTGGTACCAATGGTTGACAACTCGGAGCTTCCTTTCCGTCTTCTATGTCGACGCATCGATGATGTACACAGTTGCTTGAAAGAAACTGGTGATGATGGGGTACTTTCAACAGATCCTCTTCTTGAGAATCCAACCCTCTTTGTTGGATATCAAACTGCTGAATGGGGGATTGGGTGTTGCAGGAATGAAGGAAGACGATAAGCTAGATTAGGCTGAGTTATTGATAGAATATTTGAGGTTTTGTGAGCGATATCCAGTGCCTTGGAGAATCATCTGTTCTCATCAAGTTGTTGGGATAGTGGTTTAGGATCCAGCCAAGTGTGCGAGAGGATTTTAACAAACAATACAAACTCACCTTTGAATTTATTTATGATTTAGTGAACAGATTAAAGGAACTTGGGGTGAGAATACCACTTTATGTTGAAGGATACTCAGCAAGCAGTATCTGCAAATTGACTTGTTGCTCAAGTTCTGTTCTAACCTGAAAGATGGAGCCAACTGGTGAATCACCAGGTCAGTTTTCTCACTCCAGCTCATTCTTGTAAAATGTTGTATGCTCACTAATGTTGGTCAGAGCAGGTGCAGTGTTAAACGTATCTCAGCCTTTTACCTCATGTTTTGTATAATTATATACTGACTTTTCTTCGTATCATTGAGATAATTTACATAATTTTTTTCGTACATCTCAATTTGTATCCTGACTCATTATTTGTAAGGTGACTAAATTGTTATCCAATAGATGCAATTGGACTGATTATTTGGGAGGTTATGCTATAGTGCTTCAACCGTATGATCAAGACCTCCTTAGTTTATTTTCCATAAAGTGTGGTGCTGAGTGCTTGTAGTGTCAAGAGCACCATGTAGACAAATTTACTCTCTGCTAGTTTGAAAACATGAAAGCGAGAACAGACTGAACAGTGCATGTCTTAAGTTTTAACTTTTATAATGCGACATTGTATTTGGCACTCGTTTGTTTTCATGGGCAACAAAAAAAGGAAACAAATTCAGACTTGCTAAAAAAAAAGAGTTCATTGTTTTGCAAATCTCATCGTCATTGTATATTTCTCTCTTCTTCAATGACAGATGGTGATTTCCCTAGTCCTTCCTTACCTTCAACCAGGAAACTGAAAAAACAGAGTCAAGAATTCCAACATCGTTTGGAGGAATTGAGTAATCTAAGGGAGCAAATACGAGCTCTGGCAAGGGAGATACAATCAGTCACTCGACTCATATATGGCGTTTTCATGGGTATGATTTTCTAACCATTAAGTGCTGGTCAGGCTAGTGGCAAATTGCAATTATTGGATAATCTTCTTCAAAAACTTCATGCTTGTGGACATAGGGTTCTTCTTTTCTCTCAGATGACTCAAACACTTGATATACTCCAGGTAAATATTTGTAATCTGGTATGTTTTACAAAAACCCTATTAGAGATGTTTGAAGAGTTTAACCTGCAGTTGAATGGTTCTTCTGCTAGGTTAATCTTGTACAGGATTATCAGGATTATTTGGAACTGATGAAGTATTCTTATGAGCGTCTTGATGGTTCAATTCGTGCGGAAGAGCGCTTTGCTGCAATCAAGAGCTTTAGTCATAATAGATCAAAGTATGAAGCTCAACAAAATGCAGCATTTGTTTTCTTGATTTAAACAAGAGCTGGTGGAGTTGGGTTGAATCTTGTGGCTGCTGATACAGTGAGTGACAACTACTGGCCGAACTTTTATTATCGAATTGGTTTAAGATTATATACTCAGGTTAACCCTTATATTGTACAAGTATTTTTTCTAAATATATATTGTACAGGTAAGGAGTGTTCATTCATCAACGTTTTCTTATCTTGATATATGGAAAGAGGTGATATAGACACTTGGATTATACGCTAGAGTGAAATTATAATGAACAGGTAGAATATCTAATAGTTCAAGTTCAAATTTAACTAGTTCAATACTTGATCTCAAATTTGTTAAAGAATATTATCTTCATTCATGGATATTGATGCGCTTCTCCTTTCCTAGTCGTTATAATTGAGACGTTTAGCTCATGAGTTATGCCATCAAGGAAAAAATGTTGATAGCTCATATTTGTTGACAACATGCATCACAGTGATGCCAGTTGATACCTACTGGATGACAGGTGGAGAATTGTTAGGAAGTCATAATTTTTCTGGACCTGGCAATGCTTAATAGTGCAGTTCTTGCAAGTGATTGGGATAATATACTTTAACTCTTGTCTTAAGTTCGATTTCAATGGCACAAAATAATCATTCCTGTTCATTTTGGCCACTGCATAGTGGTGTTAGTAACATATGGATCTGTCTTGTTTTGATTGGACATCCATTTCTTTCATCTCTTTGACAAGTTGTGGTGGTGTAGGTCATATTTTACGAGCAAGATTGGAATCCTCAAGTAGACAAGCAGGCCTTGTAGCGTGCTCACCATTTATGGAGCCTTTCATTTTGTTTATGGGGACTGCACCCGTCCTTCTAAAGTGTCTCCATCAGACCCGACCATCATATTCAGGTGTATATGAAACGTTTATCTTTTCAGGTCAAGCTTGTGATGCTTATCACAACTTGTATAGAAAGTATTTTTACTATTGTTTTAATTGCACATGCGTGTTAAGTTTTCCATTATTGGGTTGGATATGTTCGTGAGTACTAAAATTATTAATTTTGATATAAACAGAGGACAGTCTTAGGAGTTGTTTTGAATGAAAGTAGCATAGCAATTTAATGAGACGGATTAATTAGTTTCGTGCAATTTCAGATTTCAACTTCTGATTCCAACACTAGAAGGGCCCTTTTCCTGTGATTGATTAGTTTTTACTGATGATATAGGTGTATTTTACTTTCTCCAATATCATGTTTTTCTCTACTATTAGATCCTACTTGAACTTGTTCTGGGAAGTGGGAGGGTTATTAACAGTACTTTGTTCTGTAGCAAGTTTACTCTGGCTTTACCTTACACCACCATGGAGAGGGGTATGTGATCAATGACTCGTAAATATTCTTCTAAGTTGCTGAAATGTTCTTCAAGTCGATCTTATTTTGAAAATCTTCTGTCTATGTAGAATCAAAGGCTCTTACTATTGATGATTTATGCCTTTTCCTTCGGGGCATCTGTTGGCCTTCTTACCAAATATCTCTTCGAAATGCAACAAAAGTAAGACTCAAAAGATGCTAAACATTGTTCAGATATCTGTTGTTGACGTTTTATGGTTGCTTTTACTGCTTTCTTTTCATATCATATTATCAGGAAACTGATTTTTGTAGTCTTTAATTGTGCACAGAGAAAGGCTTTTTGCTGATTAGTATGTATACTCTGTGAAAATTCTGTTTTAAGGACCTGTGAGAACAAGGGAACATGAATGTAGGAATTTGACATTTTGTATCATTCTTGTACGTAGTTTGCCAAAAGTTGCTACTAGGATCACGTAGGTTTTGGACATCCTGGAATGTCTGAAAATTAATTAGTGCATTAATGGCATGATCGAATACCTAGGCTTTTTCACTGTTCAGAATTCTCATTATGCTTAGCTTATGAATGAAAAACATTGAGAATGTTGGTATGTTGTTAGGTTATAAACTGTTGTTTTGGACTTCTAAATTGATGGTTTGTAATTAAGATTCATATCCTTCATGGACTTGGGGGGACTTGACTTGAATTATAGTTAGAAAAATGTATCTAACAATTATGTGCTTTTTTGGAAACCTGAACAGTTTTAATGTCTCTGCATTCTTTGGAAATCTGTTCGCTTATACTTGATTCTTAGCTACATCATCAATCAAATGTTCAATATCAGTAAAGGCAATTTCAGAAGGTGTTGTTCTATTTCCTTGGTCATTTGTTATAATTTCAACTCTATCATTTACCCAAACCGTAACACAACTATAAGTTGTACCTAAGTCTAGCAAATAGATTAAAAATAAAATTGACTATAGGTGTTTCCTCCTCAGGCCTAAAAGTAGGAGTCCACTTTTGAATTGGTTGGCTTACAATGAATACTCTCCAATTATGCACTTCCACATCTTTATTGTTATGAATTGGTTTGGCTTGTTGTGAATTTAAGCATATTAAATACATGATTTATTTCACTAATTTATAATTTTATTTTGAATGTGCAGAAAAATGCCGGTAATTGAATTTGAATTGTGGCCAGAAGTAAACTCGATCTATTGTAGTGAACGATGAAGAGTTTTTGTAGTACTATTGTCATATATGTTTGAATACATTTGGTTTTGTGGAATTTATTGATAGTAGAGATCTTTAAGCAATCACTTTCTAAGTATTGGTTGTACAACACATGTTTCTCGAAGTTTATTTGAAATATATAGCTTCGATTTAATTATTAGTTAATTTTGTGCTTTAGGTCACTTGTATATTTAATTATGTGATTATTGAATATATGCAAATAAAAATTATTATTCTTAAAAATAGAAAATTGTGGCTACAAAATTCTACACAACATTGCCACACTTCAGAAGTGTTGCTGTAGGACGTCCAATGTTATCTTGTACATAAGAAAAGTTACACTTTATAATTGTTGCTCTAGATGAGATATAAAAGGCAACACTTTTTAAGTGTGATCAATAACAAAGCAAAGACAACGCTTTTAAGTGTAGTATAATAAAAAAAGGTGTTGCTAATGTATCACTACAAAGCGTGCCCTTATACCTCTTTGGCTACGCTTTATAAGT